TGATTGAATTGAGCATAATGAAAACAAATACGATTTACTTCAGAATATGTGCGCTCAACCGTCTTCGGTGTCATCCGTCCATTCGACGCATAATTCGTCGCTAGAAATGGCAAGTGGAGCGGGACCTTCAAGTCAAGCTCCATATGCAAGCCTTGCACCGCTTTCGGTAAACGCATCAACTGTCCATTCTGATCCCAGCACGCCCTTAAGGCCATCGTGTCAAGGTTGTGTTGATGAATTCTGTTTTTGGCTCTGTGTTCATTCTATTCTTTTTTGCTTTAATGTTTTCTGCTTAAAGTCTTATTTTTATCCCAGAACTCCCTTTTAACCCTTTTCGTTGTTTTCTTTGAAGTACCTCACTTTTCAGAAATTTCTTTCTTTCTTGAATTGCTTCAATATATCAGTGCATTGATCACGTTTCTAGGAGGATCAGCTCCGGGTTTCGGGAGTCCGCCACAGCCAGCACCGATCCAGCCGCAACCTCCTGTACCGGAAATGCGAATGCGAACTTCGAATGATTCTGCGCCGCAGCAGACATCGGGCGGGAATAGACGAAGCGGCGAATCATCGAGGTCCAAACAAAGAGCAGCTAGTCAGCAACAGCAACAACAGCAACAGCAGCAGCAACAACAGCAGTTGCAGCAACAACAGGTGAGAAACTCATTCGCTTCAAAAACGAGCGCCGCAGGTGGAGGCTGCTTATTCTACCTAACAAGTTGATCGTTTTGTTCAGTTTCAGCAGCAACAACAGCAGCAAATGGCTGCGATGCATTCGATGTCGTTTTCAACAAATCCTTACGCAAGTATGACCACGGCTACGCATCCGCAACCATACTCGGCTTACCCGGCCGCCTTCGACGCATTTCGATCGACTGCTCCTGCTGGATTTGCAAGGTGCGAATCCGTTACTGGCAACGTTGGTACCGCCCACTATTTGTGCTGCCAAGGGACCAGCAATGGGTAAGTACATCGCTACTTTTTCTTTACCTTTATTTTGCTTGTGCATTTTAAGTGGGTCCCTAGAAGATTTTTCCCTGTACTCTTCGGTTCTTACATATACGAATGCCTGCGTACGTTCCTTTTAACATTAAGTATTAGTGTCTTATTCGTACTTGTCAGAACATTAGTTTTTAGCCTACCATTAGTTTTTCGGATTTATTCTCGGGACCAAATTGGGCCAGGAACCGTGTTTCTGATATCTAACTCACCAGAATGTTCTTCTCTTGTTCCACGGTCGCTTCCTTTCCTTACGCGTTAGGTTCGAGCGAACCTTCTGGCCTCGCGTATTCTGTTCGATCTGTGTATTGGCCCTACGTGAAAGGCTTGAAGCTGAGCATAGAGGGGTCTGAAAAGGCTCTTCTTTCAAGGAGCTATTATTGTTGTCTTGGCATACAGTTTAAAAAAAACATGAATTTACTTTTGTCATGCCGAGATGGTGACGTTTTTGGATTCGTTCGGGCCTCACTGCAATGTTTTAGGCTCAATGATGCCAACAAACCCTGCCGCTTTTCCGTATCCGTATCCCAACGGTATGGCCTCCAGTGGAACGTCCGATCCAGTCAACGCGCAGGAGCATGGCCGCGGTATCCGCAAGGAATGGCGCCGTTCGGAGGCGCTGCTGGCAACCCGGCAGCATTTCCGGTAGGCCCGTCTGCAACGGAGTTCATGTTCAATTCGGCCGCAGCTGGTTATTTTAGCAACGGTTCGTATCCTTTTCAACATAGCTAAGTAATATTGATTTTTTTTCATTTTCTCCTTGTGCTAATAACTTTATGGTAGCTGAGCTACAGTGCGTTTCTCTTATTTTCTCTTATTTCTGTGAATTCTTTCCATTAAGCGTTTCGGAAGATAAACCAAAGCGCATTTGTTGAATAGTTTTATATGTGATACGGGTATATTTTGTTTAGCATAAGTTGTGTCTGTGTAGTTTTATTAACTCAGTAATCAATACATATCTTTCTCACGGTGGTCATGGTACCACCATTCCACCACTTCGTCAGTTGTCAAATATTCCTGTGAATTCTCCACTCACCTCCAATCTTCTCCATGTTGAATGTATTTGTATTTATATTTGTGGCGTTTGAAAATCTCAGGTGATATCACTCGTTGGTGTTAAGATCTAATGCGCATTTCAGAAATGAGCCTTAATAATGATAGGTTTATAAGCAATCTTTTATACTGAAACGTCTTGTTTTCTTTGCTTGGTCAGTTGATATGATGATGATAAGGTGGATACTGATGATGATTAGATTGTTGTGTGTTTAATTATATAGTGTATTATCTATTGTAAAACATCCAAAGACTACTGTACCCTCCTTTTCGCAGCATTCTCCTCTTATTCCAAAAAACGCCGGTGAGCACTGCGTGGTTGCCTTGTTTCTGAGACTTTGTGTCACGCTTTAAGTTGTTTGTATTTATTTTGAAACATAAATCAATAAGACATAGAGGGTCGCTTGGTTTTTTTTGCTGAGGTTTTAGCTAGGTAGGGTAGATAATAGCGCAATAGCAGCGTTCGTCCAGCCAACAGGGAAGTATGCATGATTGGGAATTATCCGCCATGACGGCAAAATCACGCCGGAAAAATGAACATTGTTTGCGCACCCTGGAATTCTCCTTCTACGCCTTAGGCTTAGTCTCCTTCTTAATAAAAAGGACGCTTTCACGCAGTTGAAACTCATTGCAACCACAATGCCCCCGTATCTTGCGATAGCACCCAATATTGTGCTGAATCAAAACTGTGGGCAAAATAACGAAGCCATTTCTATTGCACTAAGCTGGTCCCATAAGCAATTTTTCTTCTCAGTCTTCAGCTACCTGCCAATGCGAAGTAATTGGGAGGCATGGTGATCTCAATAAGTGCGCTCATCGATCTGATTGCTCCAGTCGGTCAATCATAGAATGTGCCTTCAATTCCGACCGCTCTCTCGTTCTGGAAAGTAGGAGTGTAGCCTCCAACCTATGTATTCTTGAGAATTCCTTGACTCATCGTATACCTTGATTACAACTATTAAAGTCAGAGGGAAGTATGTGGAGCAGGAAACGCCAAGAACAGGTTAGGAAGACCAAGGAGTTAGTTATTCTGATTATCTTTTTTGATGTCGCAGAGTGCCTAGATCTGAAAGTATCGTTCGTTACTCTTGTAAGTTGAGACAGGAATAAGCGAAGAGCGCACTGCAATAAATGTTTAGGTCACGAAAGGGTTTGCCCACACTATTTTGTCGTGCTACATTACAATGGCCTATTCTACCCTCAACTCCTTCCTCACAGTTGCTTTCAAAACGTGAAGTACACTAGCTAGCATACATATCGCCAGGGAAGGATGGGAACACCAGTGGGAATCCGACTCAGTTGCCAAAGCAGTGAACGATTTTTACGATCAGCTTTTCTTCGTGGTCTAAAATTACAAAGAAACATGCGCAGGGGAAGAAAGAAGCCGCGCCGCCCTTCGAAAGTTAGTATGCCCCAGACAAAACATGCTTTCAATCCCAGGCAGAGAAAGAATAATTCAAGACTTCGACACAATTTTTTGACCCATAAAGGCCAGTGTATTTTTTGCGTGCCCATTGTGGCGCACGCCGCCACCCAGGGTAGGGTTTATGTAGGCTTATGTGAACAGCAGGGGTAAGACGGGGCTAAAGTAGGTGTCGGAGTCTCATCATCCGAAAAAAGAGATTTCCGTTGACGACAAGTTCGTAGCCCGCCTTTCCGCTCTAAAACTAGGGTGCAAAGAATGAATGGAAGCTGTAGGTGACATTATCGAAAAATGCGAAACAACAACCCCGAGCAAGGATGTGGCTATATTTAGGGGAAGGGTCTCGGGACGTGCGAACCATGGGTAAGCCACCCATCAAATAGTAAACTTATGTAAATTAAGACAAAATGTATGTAAAATTTATTGTAGGTTTGTCAAAAATCCAGCCGTCCAGGTCCTGGGAAGATATGTTATTCCACATTGCTGAGAGTATATATGGGTATATTAAGATTGCTAGAAACATTCCAAAAACAAAAGAAATAATCGTGCGCCACCATGTGGCGCACGCCGTCCGTTATGGGTTAAAGGAGGTTTTACGATGAAATCACTTGTGCTCAAGAGGTGGTCATTGATTCACGGATGGAGAAAAAAACTGAGGTAATCTGCGTAAAAACCCGGAGAATGAGACTCCTTTTTTCGCATTGATCCGCGTTAAGCGTATTTCATCGGTGTTGACGCATCAACGCCTGTCGCCCTTTCTGCTAGAGCGGTTAGAGTCGATGGCGAAAGACCAGCCATCATTTTCGCGCCGTGGCAGGCGGCGCCGAGTAGTGGCCCTTTAGCCCATTTTGAGTGGGCATATCCGTGCTGCGCGAACGCGGCATCGTCCTGCACCTTATAGTGGTTCGCCTGCCTTTGGCACTAGGTATATCTTTCTCTGACCTCAGACCTTATTGTAGAATCTTCTTCATTAGTATTTTGATTATACCGCATCGCGTGCCATTACGATTCCTGACGGTATCTAATACATAGCGCAAACACAGGATTAAAAAGCATCATTACGCTTCCGCACTTGGTCACGCTAACAACAGGTAGAACTTTCATGGAGGTGTCATATGAGAGTTTGTGTAATCACTTCGGCTTTGGCCCACGCTGCGGTACACATTCTGAGTGCAAGGGACACACGGAGGTGTTGCCAAGGAAAAAACTCGTGAGAGTTTCTCAGAAATTGGATACCACGCATCGGAAATGGGGCACGGTAGCGTTTTCCAGCAAACACATGGCTTCGGGAATCTCTTTAATTTGGTTCGCGCTCGATGGTTTTTGTGCGTTTTTTCATTCTTGGACTGGGGTTGATTGCCTATTGAATCTGCAGCATTAATTAAATGTATGCGAGTAAGAGGGAGAGGTTGGGGTTAAGCTGAAGTGGAACCCGGCACGTTCTTGTCTTAATTGATATTGATTCATAGAAATATCACTTTCACGGGTTTGAGCAAGAAGTGGCTAATAGGAACAGATGGTTGTGTTTCAAGGACCAGGAAGGTTGTGAAAAGATTTTTCTGCGGCGAATCGCCTTCGACAGAGAATTCGATGTACGGAAACAGTTCGCGTAGCATTTACAGCTTCTGTCGTAGAAAACGTACCCCTGTACTGCTTCAAGGTTCAAAAATCGCTGCAGAAGAATTCTTAGTCACGGTAATTGCTCGAAATAGCAAGCTTGAACTAAAGCACTGGCTGATGTTATGAGTTGGAGCATAGTACTTGAGGTGCGGTCTTGATTCTGGCGTAGGGGAGGCGTTTGTGTCGAGCGTTCCCTAGAAGCAAGTATGTTTTTCAATTTTGATCTTGGACGACTTTTGGCTTTCGCAGACAGACGCAAACAGAGACAAATGCGAAATTGGCACGTATTTTGGCCAGCGAAAGCTTTTGACCTCGAGCGATCTAGCAGTGGCCCCACTCTTTTGCCGGTGGCGAATACGCCCACTGACTATCTAATCACTGCCGCTGAGATACGCGGCGTATGATTAGAAGGAAAAGAAGTGCATCGATAGCGTTGAGAGGGCCACGATGAAAGACGCCATCAAATGCAGAATGTTAATGATCAAGGAAGGGGTTGCCATTGCTTATGGTCCGGGGCGTTTTCATATTTTTCCGTCTTTCCTTGTTCACTCACCGATTCTTAATTTTCAATTCCTGCCTTTGAATCTTATACGTAACCGCATGATTGAATCTCCCACTTAACTTGTGGTCTATGCTCAAAGGAATAACGAGAAGAATAAAAAACTGCGTGGTTTCGGTGAAAAATCCAGAAAGCTAAGCAGGCTATTACTCCCTCCACAACTTCCCGCAGTATAACTGCCACAAATGTTGGAAGGGAATGCTTCCACTTGTTTGCAGAAGTCTCGTCATTTCTAAGCTTGCTGTACCCCATTCCTATGGCGGGAACATCTATTTCACTCTTCTATTGCTTCCTAATCTATCGCGTTGAACGTTTCGCCTCTTCCCTCCGAGTTCCTCAAAAGCACAACCAGGCAGAAGTCGTGTGAACGATTCCCTTCGGTCTGTAGGTAGACCCTAGAGGACAATCACAGATGTGGCATTCCCGTGCACGGAAATCACCCGACAAGAGCGCTAGGGCCTTGCAAAGTAAGCTGCAGCAGCTGCAATTTTTTCTTTGGCGCTCTCTCATCTGTTGCGCTCTCTCGCCTCATACTCTCCTCTCCGCGCTTAGTCTCTCATTCCCTTAGCACAGCCGATTAGGAAGGTGAGTGAGCCCTTAACCTGAGCGTTTTCGACGGATTCTTTTCCTTTTTTCTTCACTGCCGGCCCACTTCGCACCAATACATTCATTCACATTCGTGTGCAAGAGCCACACCAGTGCGATCCTGGGGCATGCCTTTAATCGAATTCCTAGTTGAACATTTGGTAAATCCTACAGCATTCTCAAGCACGACATGATGAGTCGGTCAGCCGACACCGGCAGCCGATACCAGACATGGTCAGATTCGTGCACGAACATCCGTACAAGGACAACCAAGCCTTCTATTCCTCCAAGAGAGATCAAATGGTACCATATTCGCACAGGAGAATGACTGCTGACTTGTCCATCGACAGGCTTCCGGAGGTCATGACGTAAACCAGCTTGCATGCAAATGATGCTGTGATTCAAGATGGAGGCGAATGCGTGGCGCATCACAAATGGAGAGTGAAGAGGCGAAATCTTGAAATGCATTTGATACTCCGATTGACATTTGGG